GATCCCTCAACTCACTTTTGAGATTTTATTTATTTTTGAAAATGTATGAAAGGTGTCGGTTTTTCGACTTTTTGATACAATTATGTTATATTATATTTTATGTTTCAGTGCGTGCGCACTAATTTGGCGTTTAGTAGCCCGCCACCGCTCTGGGATTTCCTTTTTTTTTTCATTATTGGCGAAAGCCATCCTGCGGGGCCGAAAATTAGTATGTTCTTTTAATACATTGACTGTCAGAGGTAAATCTGACTTTATTTTTTATACCAATTTGTGGAGTATTGGAAAATTGTGGCTTTAGTGGTAGTCGTACGACGTACCGGCCATTATTTGATCGAGTAGTTGCGGCTTTCGAGTAGCGCTTACAATACTGATCTTTTATAGTTTTGTTGGTTAATGGAAGTTTCTTTAACTTTTGCGATTTACTTAATTGTGAATKAAGGTTTTTGTTCTCAACTTGAGYTGGTATGGTGGTAACTGGTTCTGTAACTAGTCCACTTTGCGTTTCGCTGTGCAGCGTTTGAATTTTTTCTGCCTTTGGGCAACATGGTGCCTCTTGGCAATCTTTAGAATTGTGGAATTCGGGATTTGCTTTTGCAATTAAGCCCATGGTTCTTTTTGTATAAGCACTTTTTTGGGGTGAGATGGGATATATGCTGTAATGAAGCATTGAGTGGTGTCTTTTGTGACAATAGATGCAATTGAATTTGCTTTTGCAATTTTTATATGTATGCGCATGTGACAGACAATTTGTGCAAAGTCTTTTTGACCTGACAAAATTATTTCGTTCGTTAACTGTTAAGTTTTTAAACCTCTCGCAAGATTTAAGTTTATGCCCTCTTGTGCATAGTTCGCATGACGTTTGTTTTTTCTGTTCGGATGTGAACGTTTGTATTTTGTTAAAAATTCTATTTGATTTGTTTTTGCTTCTAGCTTGGGGTCTATTTAAGCTTCTATTTGGGTCGTRTTTAATGTTCTTTGTTTTGGTTATTTTTTCTTCTAACCTTTCCGCAATTTCATATTGGGTGGTGAGAAAATCTTTCATTTGTTGCCACGTTGGGCACTTTTTTTCGTGATGAGAGCGATTGCTCCCATCGAAGTAGCGACTTTTCTGGTAATGTGGCGATGCAAATGTTTACCAGAATTGGGTCCCAGCTGTCTGTGGGAATATTTCGTGTCGACAGAATCGACAAACAATTAGAAACAGTGGATTGTAGTCTTACAAATTCTTCACTTGTTTCATTCTTGATTTTAGGCAAGTTTAATAGTATCGTTACTTGCTTATCGACCAGTATTCTTTCGTTTTCATATCTAGTCTTTTTGCTTCCCAAGCCAAATTGAAATTATCGTCATTTAATGCGAACTGTTTGACTATTTCGCCTGCTTGACCTTTAGTTTTGTATCTGATATGATACAATTTTTGTGCTTCTGATAGTTGTGGANTTATTTTTTCTTCTAACCTTTCCGCAATTTCATATTGGGTGGTGAGAAAATCTTTCATTTGTTGCCACGTTGGGCACTTTTTTTCGTGATGAGAGCGATTGCTCCCATCGAAGTAGCGACTTTTCTGGTAATGTGGCGATGCAAATGTTTACCAGAATTGGGTCCCAGCTGTCTGTGGGAATATTTCGTGTCGACAGAATCGACAAACAATTAGAAACAGTGGATTGTAGTCTTACAAATTCTTCACTTGTTTCATTCTTGATTTTAGGCAAGTTTAATAGTATCGTTACTTGCTTATCGACCAGTATTCTTTCGTTTTCATATCTAGTCTTTTTGCTTCCCAAGCCAAATTGAAATTATCGTCATTTAATGCGAACTGTTTGACTATTTCGCCTGCTTGACCTTTAGTTTTGTATCTGATATGATACAATTTTTGTGCTTCTGATAGTTGTGGATGGTTGATGTAAACGGCTGTAAACATGTCCCGGAAAGACAGCCATTCTTCATAACCTCCATAGAATGTTTCTGTGTCACATGCGGGCACCTCGAGGTGGATACCTGAACTTACCTTTTGACTGTCTATTTGTGGCAGCTCTACTCTACTGTGGGGAGTAGGTGCAATTGCTTTTATTAGCTTTAGTTGATCAGAGATCATAGCTTTTGTTTCTTCATATTGGTCTAAGCAGTTTTCATATATTGCATAAGCCGATTGTTTCAAATTTTGTGGTAGGTGTGAATMGTCAGATTCTACGATGGCGTCATGAGCCGATTGGAGACGAGTCCAGAAAATTTTAAGATTTTGGCTTTTTATTTCTAATAACGATTSAGAATTTTCTTGAATCGGTGAAGAGGCAAATCTAGTGCAGTATCTTGTTAAACTGTCACTTTCTGAAATGAATTTAATAGCCTGTTTTGAGCGTGTAGCTCCTGCAGGTGTATTATGATTTGTGTTATTAAGAATCATTTTCGATATTTTGTGTATTAATATATTTCTCAAACGAATTAAATTTTCCTCAGAGCAAACTGATTTGAATACGGAAATTGAATTGAAACTTTTTTAGGTAAATGTTTTTATTTTCAGTTTAGGTTGCTAACAAAGGAATATGTTATTTCTTGTTATTATTACCATTTCTGTTTATTTGCGAAAAAATAATATTTATTTATTGTATTTTAGTTTTAAGTTTGCMAATATCCGCACTTTTAATTTATAAATACCTTTTACGTTCTTATGTAAGTATTTGGATACACCCTAATACTTGGAATTGTATAYATGTGTGAAGGTACTTATGTTTTATGCAAATGAGAGCTCGCTGAGAGGATCAATGCGCTATTTACATAAGTATGTACGGATTGTTTGTGTGTTTATTAGTATGGTTATCTTGAGCAATTGAGAGCTCGTTAGAGAGATCAATTTGCTTTATGTACGCAATCCTGCTTGTTTTTGTTTGCCAAAGAACAAGGGGTATTGCGGGATATTTGCAGTTCGGACTTTCAAAATATATGTATGTTTTAATATATGGACATATATAGTATATATATGTACGTAAGCTTAAATATATATTTTTCACATTAATAATTGTTGTTTAGCCGAGCCTTTTGTATGTTTTAGTTTTATATTAAAGTAAATTAAGAGCATTTAGTTATGCGCTTATATTGACTTTACTTTTTAATTAAAATAACTACTTAAAATTTAATTGTTTAATATTACCCAACGTAGGGTATATCGAGAGTGGTAGATTGTATGCCGTATGATTATATGTACAAATATATTATATTTATAAGGTAAGGCATGTAAATTTTTGAATTGTTTTTTTTTTTTTTGTGTTTGTTGTTTTGTTTATTTTATGTTGTTTTAGATTCGCGCCCGCTTAATTTGTTGGTATGTATATTTTTAGTTTCGCGATTTCACGCCCGGTTTGTGTGTTGTTTTTAGTGTAATGTTTTTAGTTAAAGTGGGAATTTTGTCCATAGTTTTGATATATGTTTGTACATATGTGTTTGTATAGAAACTGTCTCTTATACACATCTAGATGTGTATAAGAGACAGCTATGATCCGTGAACATCCCATATTGTATGGTTGTATGCTTATTTTTATACAAAGAGTTGTTCATTGTTTACATTTTAAGTTCAATGAAATTTCTACTTATAAAATGCCTAAACAAAGTTTAAAAAACAACATAATTGAATTTAAAATAAGTTTTGTTATTCAGGAAATGGACTTTATTGAAGGTATGTGCTTATTAAATAATCCAAATTTTAAGAGTTCAAAAGATTCTTCGTATAAAATTTGCAGACATCTTGCGCCCTGAACAGTGTCACAATGCAATTGTAAACAAAAAACAGCTGTTAATAGCAGAATTTCCAATTAGAAAATATAAATGGAAATGCCATTCGCTTAGGTTTTATTTATTTTTTGTGCTGCCATTTAGTAAAACTCCCACGACTTTCTAACACTGGAAATAAGCAAACAACCACATAATCTGTAAACAAGGGTCTGGGTTGGTCAAAGTTGGTTATTYTGTCATACCGCATTTTGTTGTTGTTTACTTAATCACATAACCACATAACCCGATAACCACCTTATCGTGAACAGCCTATTTATAAAGATACTCATTTGCCGGAGTTGGCGATCGAGGTTCCGCGAATCGAGGTCGAATTGGATAATCGCGGTAGAGTGTTGAGGTAGCGAATTGACCTGTCGAATTGTTTAGGACGGATGTTGACGTGCGAAGTCCGTAAGCAATTATCCAATTCCTTTTGTTAGGTTGATGGCGTATGGTGTCGTCTTGCGGCGATCGCTAGCTGAGTGTAGTGTTGTTGTCGTAGGGTGCGCYAGTTTTCCCCAGCCAGAGTGGTGTACATAGTACATGCGAGGAGATGCTTAAGTCATTTAAACAAAAGGAAAAAGTGCCGCTATGGCACTGTATGTGTATCACCTATAATATATAAAAGATAATTTAAATGTTGGCAGGGATAAATTAAGACTTTCCGCTCGTTGCATATTTCAATAGGACAACAACCCAAAACGTACAGTTCACAAGACAAAACTGTGGATATTGTACAACACCGCAAAAGTTTTAGGACCGCCCCCTCAGGGGGCCTATTCTGTAACTCGATTCCAAACAAAATTTACTCGAATTCGGATTTTTTATATACTGTAACTCGATTTTCGGATTTTCAAACCAATTTTCGAATAAAATATTAGTTATCTTTTGAGTTGTAGAGAGCAAAAACGAAAATTGTATTTATTGTGGCACAGGGTGGTACAACTTTCGAAAAATTATAAAGTAGATCCGAATTTCGAATAGAATACATTTACGAATCGAGATACAGAATAGGGCCCCAGTCCTCGGATTTTAATCCGATTAAGCACTTGTTGGCAGATTTCGAACATGCATACATATATATTAAAAGAAGTTTCAAATATGAATAATTTTACGAATTTATCAGTTGCAGTATTTTTACCTATGTTCCTTTATAACTAATACTAAATTTTTGGTTTTATATAAAAGTTAATATAATAATAATAATAAAACTTGTGTAAGAAAAAAAGGATGCATGTTTTCCTGGAGATTGGCAATTTATTGAAAAAAATTTTGTTGAATATTGTTGCATTACTGTAAACTCAATCTCTTCATTATGAACTATTCAACCGTTACCATTGTTACAAAAATTTCATGCATTTAATGCCTTGTAATAGTAAGCATTGTGAAAATTATGCCTACCATTACAATCAGCCCTATCATGCAATCCATCAGAGAAAACGAATATGAATGTCCGCTATGAATACGCATAACTTTCTATCTCTGAATCCACGTGAATTCGAAAATTTTGTTACCAGACCTTATTTTGAATTTTGACATTTCGAAATAATCTGGGTAGGAGAAAATATTTAAATTTTGATAAATAAAACTGAAATCTTTTATAGTTAAAATAAATTTACGAACAAAATATGAATCCGCGTTTTGCCACTTTAGGAATTTTCATAGCAATTTCATATATTTTCCATAACAAGTGTGCGATGATTTGCTATAGGGCTGAATCTAAATTATTAATTATTATTAAATAATAAATAATATATCAACTAATTTCTTCGCCAACATAAGTTTATTAATTTAACAATACTTAATTTCGCAAAAAGGTTAAAAGGATTACTAAATGTGATGTTTCTTCTGTAGAAAGTTATCGTTTGCAAAACTTTCGCAAGCTACAAAAGCACTTGTACCGACGCGTGTTCTTGATCGGCTTCTACTAAGTTGGGCTCGTCGTTCAGCGCCTGAAGGTCGGGGCCGCCTTTGTCTTTGATTACGATTTCCGAAAGCAGTTCCAGTTTGTAAGGCTTCTAATAAACTGTCCATTACTCCTTCCTGGGTTTGCGTAGAATCCATGTCAACAAGTGCTAATTTAAGTTGTTGCCGTTCTAATTGCTCGCGAAGCAACCGTTCTCGAGCATCTTGTAACCTCCGTTTCTTATTCTCTTCTTCTCTTTGGTGTATATTCTCTTGTTGTGCTAGTATAAAGGCATCTTTAAATTTTTTGATATCGGTAAAAAACTCCTCCATTGAATATTTGTTATAGTCAAATGAAAAGTATTCTCCCAAATCCTTGTACAATTTTTCCATTTGAACTTGCATTTTCCCTAGAAACAAAAAAAAAATATTAATTAAATTCTTTTATATGAGGTTAAAAGCGTAATTGATACAATGATACGAAAATATTAAAGAGGAAATCATAGGATTCAGATTCATGGAGGTATAGAAGCAGGGACCAACCACCACCGACTAATTTCGATTTGAAACGTATATTACCAGAAGTAATTAATAATAGTAATACTACTTATTAAGACATCGTCTACAGGATAATATTGCTATCGAAGACCTGTTAAAAATGAAAAGCGGAGTGCTCTCCTGAAATTGAAAAAAAAGGATGAAGTAACAATATAACTGGCACCAACCGTTTGTGGTGTCTTTAGATTCAAAGTATCCTAGCATAGCAAACAAACTTGGCCAAAGTTTGCATAATTCTTATTATCCAAAATCTATTATTAATATACATAGATTTTAAAACGAAAAATATTATCTTATTAAAAGGCAGTTTATAAATATATAGCACCTTCTGTTCATCTACGTTTGCCCATTTATTAGAGTTTTAGTACAGTTCTTACAGAAAATCAACAAGCAGGACAAATTCAACATCTCTTTAAAAAAGTACTAAAAAATCAGACGACCAAAAAGCTTCCAGAGCTGATTAATTTCTTCATTGTCATTAAAATATTTCGAAAGGATCTGTCGATTAATCAGGGTTATAGCCTGCACACAGATCATTCTTGAGATTTATTTAACTGAAACCAAAATGTAAAATTATATACATTGTGACAAAAAAAGTAAAAGGATCGAGAGATCGAGATTGAAGACATGCCTCTTTCTGGACGATCTTCGACCTCATCAACTGAGGAAAACATTAAAAAAGTGAAGGATATGGTACTGCAAATTCGCCAACCACATTAAAGAGATGGCAAGAGACCTCGACATCGCTCGCGTGTCCGTTCGAATGATTTTAATAGCGTTCTTGTTCGACTAGTACCGATTAAGCCGATTTTTTCAAAAAAGTACCGCAAACAAGAGTTTTGGACATACTTGATCGTGGAGCGCATTATAACTGATGATGAGACATGGTTCTATGAGTTCGCAATACAAACAAGTAAACAATCATCGGAATGGGGGAAAAAACGAACCGAAAGCAATAAAGAGTTCTATTTGGCGAAATTGTGGCGTTGGCGTGAGCTCATCTTTCAAAAACAGTCGGAATTGTGGAAGAAAAATCCATTGATTTTACACGATGAAAATGCACCATCACATTATTGTATCAAAACTTTAACCACCAAACTAAAAATATATGAATATTGATTTTGTAGTTTTTCTACAGAAATATATGAATATTGATTTTGTAGTTTTTATAAATATTATAAATACGTCGAAATTTAACGTTGAGAGTCAGTTTAAAAGTTAAATCATAGGAAAAAATATTAATTTTCAAATTTCATTGGCCTCCTGTAATTTTTATAGAGTAAATAGTATGTATAATAATATATTTATATTCAAATTATGAACCAATTTGAATATAAATTAATTGCTGGTGGTGACCATAATGCCAAAAATATCTTATGGCGTTCATCGCTCACACATCCCAAAGGTAAAGCCCTTTTGAATTGCATTTGGAACAAAGGTCTGACTACTGAGATAAAGCAAAAAGTATGTTCAAATGTTAAATGTTTTAACGAAGTATCAAAAAACGAATTACCACATTAACAAGTTCGGTCTGGATACCTCTTATATGCCAAGGAATTCCTTAATTTTATTSTAATGTTTCCAAATCGCAATACCGGGACTTCACAAGTTCAACAAATGTTTCACCCTTCTACTGATTTGTTATAAAAATTCTTCATTTTCAACCCTACTGACACAGAGTTGAAAGCCGTTATACTAAAGAAAAATTGAATCTTGCCAGCACTTCAATCGAAGTTTTTTTTAACGGGTTGAGTGGAAAGCTATAATGCCGAATTTCAAAATTCCTACCAAAACGATGTTGGAAGAAACCGTAATAGGGGCCTAAATTTAGATTATAATGTAAATCAATAAAGTTTATATATACCTAGTGCTATTAATCTACCACGCGCTTATTTGTTGTAAAATGAACATACTCGTATCTTGTGGTTTCTAATATTTATTTCAAAAGGTGTATATTTATTAGTAAATATGTCATATCAATACATTTTCTTAGTCGATAAAGCAGCAAAATTCAGTGTTTTCAAATAAATCTTKTGGCGTATTTAGTCACTGAGTTATCGCACTTTCAGTAGTTTTCAACATAACCGTTATATGGGCAGTACACGTGGTWATTATCTGATTGTACCAATTTTCACAGCGGGTGAAGAGCTGTTAAAAATAATATTTCTATTAACCTTTAAATAGCTTCAGCAGTTTGGAAGATACAATAAACCATATTGAGTGCGGAATTTCAGCCAACAGATGTTTCTTCTTATAGCAATCCACTATACCAAAATACATTTCTATATCTTCAGACAAAACGACTACTTTTCGTGCGACTTCTTCAATCCACCCTTGAAAAATATTCGACCTGCAGAACTTAATCGAGCAGGCACCATCTTCTATAAGACTGTAYATCTGCTGGCGTACGCTGATGATATTGATATCACGGTCTCAACATCACACTGTTAGTTCTGCTTTCTCCAGACTGGATAAGGAAGTGGAGCAAATGGTAGTGAACAAGGGCAAGACGAAATATCTCTTGTCATTAAACAATCAGTCGTCGMACTTGCGACTTAGCTCAAAAGTTACTATTGACAGTCACATCTTTGAAGTCGTAGATAATATCGTCAATGTCAGCCTCGAAATCCAACGCAGAATATCTCTAGCCAGCAGTAAAGTTTTCTCTCGACGAACCAAACCAAACTCTATAAGTCACTCAGTAGACCCGTCCTGCTATATAGTGCAGAAGCATGGTCAATGACAACAGCTGATACAATTCCCACGACAGCCGGTTCTACGTTACCGGAATTGACTCGGATTTCATCCGACCAAGGGCTSTCTTTTCGGCGATCTAACCCCGTTTGGATCGGTGAGTGTTGACAACAGCTGATGCGTCGGCATTTCGAGTTTTGAAGAGAAAGGTTCCTCTGGAAGATTTATGGTCCTTTGTGTATTGGAAACGGCGAATAGCACATTCAATCGAACGATGAGCTCTATGAGAAAAACGACAATGACATAGTTCATAGAATTAAAAGACAGACGTCCGAATGAGCGAAAACTCTCCAGAGAAAGACCTCCACTCCGTTGAAAGACCAGGTGGAGAAGTCATTGGCTTCGATCGGAACCTCCAATTGGACCAAGCAGCGAAAAGATAAAACAATAAAAAWTTTTAAAAAATTCGTAAAAATTAAAATTCAAAACCAGTTCGACTTCTGATAGATGGACGACATGTTTCTAATATCTTTGATGTGCATACGCCCCAAAAATGTAACATCGACTATCTTGTTTTAGTGAAGATACGCGGCCGCCTCTGTATATCCAAGCACGCACGTCAACAACTACAGGGAAGATTTTCTGCTCAAGTTGAAGAAAGAGTGGTCAAAATGCGTGAGTATGAAGAACTTGAGAAGCTGGCCGACAGGGGTAATACTCGAAAATTCTACGAAAGGATGCAGCGACTAACAGAGAGTTAAAAACYGGAGCATACTCTTGTGGTAACCTAGTGACTTGTGCCCAGAGCTTAGTAAAATTAATGAAGGAACACTCCAATTATAACGTCAGGAGAAGGTGAACCCGATTCCGAGCTATTCAAACAAGGCGGTGAAGAACTGATAATTAGCAGGCATTAGTCTTTTTCTAGAAGATGGTCGAACGAAAAAATGCCCAACGATTGGAATTTAAGTGTGCTCTGCCCAACCCACAAAAAGGGAGACCCCATAATCTGCGCCTACTATCGTGGTCTCCTAAACATCGTATATAAGGTTGTGTGAAAGATTAAAGCCCATCGTCAACAAACTGATTGGACCTTATCAGTGTGGCTTTCTTTTTCGTCTTAATTGGCGTAGACACTGCTTACGCGATTATAGCCGAGTTAACAACAGCGCGCCAGTCGTTTCTTCTTTTCACTACGTGGCGCCAATTGGATATTCCAAGCGTAGCCCGGTACTTCGCCACCTAGTTCTTCCAACGGGTTGGAGGACTTCCCCTTCCTCTGCTTCCCCCGGCGGGTACAGCGTCGAATACTTTCAGAGCTGGAGTGTTYTCGTCCATTCGGACAACATAACCTAGACAGCGTAGCCGCTGTCTTTTAATTCGCTGAACTATGCAATGTCGTCGTATATTTCGTACAGCTCATCGTTTCATCGAATGCGATATTMGCCGTGGCCAATGCGCAAAGGACCATARATCTTTCGCAGAACTTTTCTCTCGAAAACTCGCAATGTCGACTCCTCAGTCGTTAACATCGTCCAAGCCTCTGCACCATATAGCAGGACGCGAATTATGAGTGACTTATAGAGTTTGGTTTTTGTTTGTCGAGAGAGGACTTTGCTTCTCAATTGCCTCCTCAGTCCGAAGTAACACCTGTTGGTAAGAGTTATTCTGCGTTGAATTTCCAGGCTGAAATTGTTGACAGGAGATATTTCGTTTTGCCCTTGTTCACTGCCAAACCCATCTTCTTTGCTTCCTTGTAAAATCTGGAGAAAGCAGAACTAACAGCGCGGGTGTTGAGGCCGATGATATCAATATCATAAACAAACAAAATTGTCGAATATGGAGTGCTTCCAACCCACAGATACTCCATGAGATGGAATTGCATCCACTTCGTGTCACAGTGTGGTGTGCAGTTTCATCACGCTGCATTGTCGGGCCTTACTTCTTCGAAGAAAACTGTCACACCGTTACGGTTACTGGAGACCGTTACTTGAGCATGTTGAGAGAGTTTTTCTATCCAAAATTACGCCGAATGAGAATTTCTTTCAACTCTGTGTGGTTTCAGCAAGATGGTGCAGCTCCTCACATAGCAAAACTGTTATGACAGAATTGCGACGAAAATTTCCCAATAAGCTGACATCCAGAAACTCCACATTCC